GAGGAGGAGGAGGAGGAGTGGTGGTGATGGAGGAGGAAGAGGAGAATGAATGGAGGGAGAGGTACGGGCGACTCAACAAGCACAGGAGAAGAAGCGTCCAAGTACCTCCTCATCTTTCCAAGATGGTGCGAGACTGTGGAACATGAACTCTTCCTCCAAGTCAACGCAGGAATGCAGCAAGTTCTTGTGCACACAAATGACTCCCTCCCCTTCTTCTCCCCCCGACAGACTTTCGCATTCTGGTGTGATTTGCTCCACTGCATGAAGGGAGGAGGAGGAGGAGGAGGAGGAGGAGGAGGAGGGAGGTAGGATGTAAGACACGGCGGGGGGAGGAAGGTCGAATCCTCTGTTCGCAGTCCGGGGGGAACTCGTCGATGGTGAGGTAAGCCTTCTGGAACTCGAGGACGACGCGGCAGGTGGAGGAAGCAGGCACTGTGAGGTTGTACCTGAGCGAGGGAAGTGAGGAGAGGAGGGAGAAGAGGATAGAGGATGTGAAAGATCACGGAGAGAGGAGAGGATGTGGAGGGGGGAGGGGGGGAAGGGGAGGGGGGAGGGGGGGGGAGAAGAAAACACTAAGTCAAATGGTATTTAGTACTTACTCCAGCATCGTCATTCCCTGTCGTATCCTCGCAAGCTCCACATTCTGAATGTTGAGAGCGTGATCGATCGATTTCTGATGCGGCGAGAAATCAGAACAAGAACAACAAGAAGAAGAAAGGGGCAGGAAGAGAGGATAGAAAGAGGATGAGCATGGAAAGATAAAATGATCAAGAATGTAGAAAGGAGGAGAAGGAAACAAGGTGAGCACAGGCTGACATGAACATTACAGCGATGACAAGAATGAGGAACATGTCAAGGTCTACATATAAATGACCTCAACTCCATCGACGAAGACGTGCAGGAGATGGAGGTATGCTCGAACAAACCAAGGGAAATGATCCAACACATGCAGTGAGATGTTTTGATGGCGATGGGAGTTGGTGATGTCCAGGACCAGCCCTGACTGCTCACAGCATCAGATGCTGTCAGCGTTTGACACTCGCGGCAGGATCGAAGCCTCTCACTCTCGCTGTCGCATGCCCCGTCACGTATCTGGACAGCGAGATCCAACTGCCTCCTCCTCCAGCTACCAGCGGACTAGTCTGCATCAGTGCCCAACGGATCTGCAAGACAAGGAGAGTCAGGAGGGTAGCGACATGGCATGGCGGGAGAAGCGTGGAGGAGAAGACTTGCTGACCTGCACGTCTCGTCGTTGAGAGGATTGCAAGTGTGACAATCTGAATGAAGTCGAGGCATCATCGTCTGCATGCCTTTGCTTGAGCTGTAAAGGGCAACATCACGAGACAGGAGCGGCGTTGTCATTCTGCCTTACCTCTCCCTCGAAGTCCCCCACGGTGCTCACGTGAAGACTTTTTCCTTCTTGGAGGAAGGAAGGCTGATGGATATGAATCCAAGACTCTGATGCTAGGGTACACGCTTCAAGGTCTTCGCCTGAGAAAACATCGTCATCACCAGTGGTTGTTCTGCAAACATCATCATCAAGGTACCAGGACGCAAGAGGTCGGAGAGCTGGAAGTTTGCTTGGAATACTGGAGGAAGCGATCGAGCCTGCGCAAAGACGGTGAGGAATTGATGGACTGATGACGGAGATGGCGGGTGAGAGCGAGAGTTCTCAACATAGAAAACTCTTGCTTGTGATGAAAGACGAATATGTTGATGTTCGAGAAGCAACACATTGTGGAACAACGAGATGTCTTGCACAATAACAAACGATCAACAAACGGCATGTGATGACGATGAAGAACAAGTTTTGACTGACCGAGACTGTCTTGTAGATTGAGTTGTCGCCCAGTGTGATGGTGTTGCTGACACCAGTCGCCGTCTGCGCTCAGACCCAGTAAGAGGAAAGAACGCGAGCAAAAGAAATCCAGCGGGTGAAATGATGGATGATGATATGAAACGATATGGATGGGGAATGGAGGAATCCGAGGAGGAGGACGAGGCCGGGGTGTGTGGAGAAAAACGAGCAGAAGAACGAGGAGGGCGAGAGCAAGGAGGAGAAACAAGGAGGAGAAACAAGGAGAAAGATTAGACTGGGGAGAAGAAAAAGCGGGAGGAATTTAGGTAGATAGGGAGGGAGGGAGGGAGGGAGGGAGGGAGGGAGGGAGGGAGGGAGGGAGGAAGAAGACCTGGATAAGTTCGATGAAGTAGCTTCCAGGACGGCAACTCCCATCCTCCACCCTCTCGCATTGGATGGCCAAGTGCAGAGTGTAACTGCTGTAAAGCCCTCCGCAATCCCTCTTGGGCTGCGCGCAGACACAGTCATGCCGCGTCGACCCCACCACCACCACCAACACCACCTTCCGCTCTCTCTCTCTCCCTCTCTCTCCCTCTCTGTCTCTGTCTCCGTCTCTGTCTCCGTCTCTCTCGATCTATGTATCTCCTCCTCCTCCTCTTCCTCCTCCTCCTCACCTGGAGCAGGGCGGAGAGGCCAGAAGCATGCCGGCAAGGCAGCAGCTTCATCCATGGGGTCAGGTTCTCCTGCAGGACTCCCATCAGCGGGGGGAGGCGGAGGAGCAGCTCGTTCACGAGCTGGTCACCGTGCATGCCACTTCTCGCGGCAGAGCTCCGTAGAAGAGGTGAGAGGGAGGAGGAGAGCCGTTCCAGATGGAGTTGATGAGAGCTGAGCGGGAATGGAATGTCCTGGAACATATTTATCCTCCCCCTCCGTCCCCTCCTCCTCTCCTTCTGCCTTCCTCCTCGCCACCTCGGCTCTTCCTCTCCCCTCGTCCTGCTTCTGCTCCTGCTCCTCCTATCCCCCTTATCCCCTAACCCCCTCCTCCAAGTCGAGCTCTCACTTCTGCGGGTGGATGTGTTTCGTCGCTGGCTCAAGGAAGTTGATGGACGCGCCGAACAGCCCGGAAAGAGCATGGGTGATCCCCTTCCACGCCTCCTTCAGCCCCTCCGTCGGCAGGAACCATGCTCGGAGCTCCACTCCTTGCGGGGCGGCGACGGGAGGATGCGACCATCGCTCTGTCTGCCATCTCCCGCGCGAGAAGCTCAGGTGGACCTCTCCTACCCCGTACATCCTCACGATCTCCGCGATCACCTTGGGGAACATGTTCAGGTGGAGCGGGTCCAGGCGCGCCTTCCTCTGCCCTCCTCGTCCCCTGGGCAGCAGGAGGCTGTCAGGAACGGCGCATGTTGTCCGGAAGACGAAGTGGGTCATGACGTTTCCATCCGCCAGCGGGCGCAGAACGAGGTCCTCCTTGAAACTTTCTCCTCTAGACCTGCCCACCATTGTCATGCTCTGCGAGCCTTCGCTGCGGCGCCTCCATCCTCTCACCTTGTCCCTCCTGCCTTCCCTGCCGATGCTTCTCCTCCTCCTACCAGCAGCATCGCCATGGCTGCCGCGAGCGCCACTGCCATAGTCCTTGCCCTGTCTGTCATGATGCCATTTCCTCCAACCACCCTCCTGCTGAAGCCACTACCCCCCATCGGTATATCAAAAGACCGGTGGGTGTTTCCCCTGCCCGACAGGAGAAAACCGATTCATGGTGAGTGCGAGGGAAGGAGACGACGAGTAAGAGCAAGGGTCAGAGGAGGAAGAGGAGGAGGATGAAGAGGACAGAGACGACAGGAAGGAGAGCCAGGATGCGAAGGAGCATGCTCCTTCTCAAGTGCGATGGCCGCCTGCCCGTATAACTCAGAACTGCCCTTCTCCACGAACCATGTCAGGTGACCTTGAGGCGCCGCAGTGGCTGGAAACGATGAGGAAGGAAGTTCTTGCCTCCAAGGAGTGGGAAGGGTTGTTCCAAGTCGCACAGCACCTGGCTAAGAAGCACCCCAACGTGAACGGAGAGGAAGGGTGGGCAAAGTTGAGCCTTGAGGAGAAGGAGACGGTCATTTCTCTGGTGGAGGATAAGGTCAGGAAGGAGCCCAAGTTCTCTGAGTTCAACCAGCATCTCAGCAGGTATGTAGACAGAGTTCTGCAGGAGCAAGTCGCGTCCGTCGCCTCCAGCTCTCCGCACTCGGGGGGCGGTCGAGACGTGCCTTCCAACCGCCGGTTGAACCTGGACCACCACCAGCTCATGGAGGTGGCCGGAGATGGAGCAAGCTCCCTGCTGGCAAGGTGGCCGGATCAGTGGCAGGAGCTCAAGGTGGTCGGGGTCAGAGGGCTCCCGCACCGGCTAAGGAACGAGCTATGGAAGCAAAGGCTGTGCGACGTGAAGGAGAGGTCCTCCTTCTTATCGCTACAGGCTGGGAACAGGCTCTACGTGCTCTCCGACCGCGACCCGGAAGTCTCAAAGCACCTGAGGTCTGTGATGGACTCGGAGTTCGGGTCCTACGACCTGGTGTCACTGCAGGTGCCCTGCAAGTCAGTGCTGTCGTACCTTCACAAGAAGCTCGGGGGTCCTGTTGAGAATCCCCTACATGCCATCGTTATCGTGCTGGTGTGGTCGATCAGCCAGGCTGAGCCCGAGGTGCCTGTGACGGTCACGCTAGTCGAGCGGTCGCTCACGCTCCTGGACGAGGTGCAGTATGAACAGCTGTTCGAGATCGGATCGTACCTCCCCCGCCCACATGGGCTGTACGACAAGACCGTCAAGGCGGCATGCGAGCTGCTGGAGCAGGCGAACCCCGAGCTCTACAAGCTCTTTCTGAGCTGCACGGGGAACGAGGACCAGCAGGACCCGCAGAAGGACGAGATGACTCTGTTCACAGAGAGGCTGGAGCTGTGGAAGGGGAAGGGGAGGGACAGGAGGAGCAAGCAGAAACAGGAAGTGTGCGCTGCTCGCTCTTCCAAACATATCCCCTGGGACTTCACGGCAGTCGGAAGCAGCAGGAACGAAATCTTCTTCCACCTGCTCCTCCCCGTCCTCCGAACTTTGTTCGCAGGGCACCTGACGAGCATGGAAGGGACCAGCTGCTTGTGGGACTGTCTCCTGCTCTTTGGCCAAGAGGCCATGCCGCCGCTCGCTGCTTCCTTCCTTCTATGCCTGGAGGAGAGCGTGAGAGAGCTCGTCCCCGCCGGCTCTTCCCTGCGGGTGCTGGAGGCCGCCTTGAACTTGACGCATGGGATCGTGGACATCATGGATGTCCAGACGGAGTTTGAAAGGCACTTCTGGATCAAGATGCGGAGCTCGAATCAGCTGAGGAGGTCACGAGAGGACATGCTCAAGTCTCTGATTATCAGGGAACGCCGGTCCTCAGGGCCGGCTGCCGAGCAGCAGCCGCACGCGCGGGTGAAGGAGGGCAAGACCAAGGAGCGAGCAAACTTGTCCTCAACGGAAACGCAGACAGACATGGATGTGACGGAGGAGCAAGACCCACAGCGGATCCTTTCGGCAGAGGCGATCCTGGCTCCGCTTGCTTCCTCCCAGGAGGTCGACGAGGCCCTGCCGTCACACAGGACGAAAGACGGGAGGGAGCCGGCGAAGCCGATTCACATCAGCGAGGCCCCTGCGCAAAGGGTGAAGGATGTGCTGGAGCTGTGGTATGGACGGAAGATCTTTTCAGTAACGGTCCCCAACTTCTCTGCCAGCGTGAAGAGGCTCTCCCTCCTCGCAGACAAGGTCATCAACCTTCCTGAGAACGAGGAGCTGTTCTCAGCTGTGGTCCAGCACGAGAAGAAGATCCCTTGCCCTGTCGCTCGCTTCCAGGGCAGCAACCTCAGGCTCCCCAAGACCTCTAACGTGGATGTCCCGCTCTTCCAGCTGCTCGCCAGCAAGTACCCTCGGCTCGAGAACGACTTCCGCAAGCCGATGATGAGGTGCGAGATCATCGACCCCAAGACGGACAAGATGCACGAGTTCTACCTCGCTCCCCTCCGCAAGGGTGACGTCCATGGCACCGATGCAGTATCGGAGGAGCTCAGCCAGCTGGGGATATTTCTCAGCTCGGAGCAAGTCATCGAAATTGCTCGCTGCCTCGAGAGCTACAGCGCCCTTCCCCCGCGGGATGACGTGAAGAGGACGGACCCGCGAGCGGAGGGGAGGGAGGGGAGGGAGGGGAGGGAGGGAGCGCCAGGGATAGACGAGAAGATAGGGTTTGATGTGCGTGTGGACGCAAAGCTGAACGAAGTCTTAGACGAGATCAAGAAGGAGGACATGAAAGTCTTGCTGGAACCCCCGGTGGGGAAGGAGGCGACGAAGAAGGTCATTCTCAGCAAAATGCAGTCAGACATGGCGGCTGCTCTAAAGGTTTCCGCCGACTTCTTCCATCCCCTGGAGCTCCACGAGATGCAGAATTACCTCATGGCGGAGTTCAACCTCCACAGCCCCTACAACTCGTTCAAGAACAGGACGGCGATGCAGATCTACGACGAGCTCGTCGACCTGGTGAAGACGGAGGAGTCAAAGAGTGCGTTTACTTCGAGCTGAGAAAGATTGCTGGCAGGTGGGGAACGCCTATAGCAAGCTGAGAAGGACTGCGTCGTTCTCAAGAGTTGTAATGCTCTCATGCTGAAGAGGTCGGAGGCTTGCTGACAAGTTTGACCTACAGCTGAGAACGATCTTGCGAGGGCGTCCGCACGCAACTTTCACCAAGACAGCAGAGCAAGCTGCGAGCACTGAGAGACGATTGATGCAAGATGTCAAACAGCCCCAGCTGAAGGAAGATGTCAAACAGCCCCAGCTGAAGGAAGATGTCAAACAGCCCCAGCTGAAGGAAGATGTCAAACAGCCCCAGCTGAAGGAAGATGTCAAACAGCCCCAGCAGAACTCTCCATTGAGCTCGAAGGCTCTTGATGCTAGCAGGCCTCAAAGCAGCAGCGAGCCTCCTTCTCATCCTCCCTCCCGCTTGACTGAGCACTCGCCCCTGAGGTATCCTCCTCCATGCGACGCTTTCCGGCTGAGAGGTGACACCTGCTCCAGCACGACGAGCCCTCGACCTCCGGACGAGCCCAGCCAGGTGGCTGCTCCTCCCCTCCAGCCTCCTGTTGTCAGTTCTGCTCTACCTTAATCCTCCTTGTCCTCCTTCCCTCCTCTCCAGCTGAGAGCTGCTGCAGATCAAGTTCTCCAGGGAGACCAAATTTTTTTACACTGTCGGTAAGGAGCGAAAAGGACCGTCGGACCTGGACGGCCTCAAGCAGCTCTTTTCTCAAGGCATCGTCACCTCCTCCGCCTACATCTGGTACAAGGAGATAGGAAAGCAGGTGCTGACTTTCTCTTCCTCCTCCTCCTCCTCCTCCTCCTCCTCCTCCTCATCCTTGACCTGACTGAACTGCAGTGGATCCGTCTCAGAGAGGACACTCAGTTGCTAGAACATCTCACCGCCTAGGCGTCTCATCCCTTCACTTCTTACTGCCCGGGAGGTTGAAGGCATTCAACGTGCCCTCCAGAGCGCTTGGCTGCCTTGCGTCCATCATACTCTCGAATTCATCATGCATGGACTGCTTCTTGCCGCGCTCGCGTATTCTCATCACCCTTCCACGAAACTTCATCCCGTCCATCTCGCATGCGTTTGACATCCCCTCGTGATCTCTGAACCTTATGAGGGCATACTTGCTCTTGCCCTCCACCAGGTCGCCAAACTCCATGTCAACTATCTTGCCGCACTTGGAGAACTTGTCCCGAACATCCTGAGTCTTGAGGAGGGGGTGTAGGTTGTGAACCACTATAGCGTTCTGATCGTATTGAAAGCAAAACGTCGAGTTCTGATCCATGGGCACTAATCGCCTCTCTACCTGACTGACCTTGCGTTTGATCCCAACCCCGAACAATGGGCTCGAGTCCTCCAACACTCTCGTGATCAGCTTGCGCCTCCCCTCTACCTGCAGCTCTGATCCCTCCTGCTGACTGGCCGACGTGACGTGAGGCTTGAAGTCCAGCAGCTGCTCCTTTATCACAAGGGGCGACCGTTGCAGGATAAGGTTCACAGGGGCCGAGCTGTTGAACTTGATCCTTGCAAAATGCATGTTCCGATTGATGTCTACAACCTCCACCTCCCCGTAGTTGGACAGTTCTCGCCGGATATCGTCCTGGGTAATGTCCGCAGGAATGTTGGGGACGAAGAGACGGTCGGTGTCGACAAAGGGGACGCTCTTGACCTTCTTCTTGTCGAGGAAGTTACTTGCTAGGACTCGCACCCTGGCCTTCGCTCGCAGAGTTGACTTTGTGCTCTTCTGCCCTTCCTGGCGCGCTCCTTTGAGATTTCGCAAGACCATCCTTGCATCGCGCCCCGTGACGGTGACGTTGTCAGCTGTCAGAAGCGCTTCCAACCTCTTATCTTCCTGTACCACATTGTTCTCAACAGTGATCATGCTGTAGTCGGCAGCATGGTGGAATGAAGTGATGCAAGGGTGGTTGCCCATCTCTTCCTGGACTTGCCAGTAGGTTGTCTGGCTCAGACCAAACATGTTTCGTGGTTGGTTGGAAACGTCAATGTTGGAGCTGTCCAGTGATGATGTGTACTCGTGATTCAACAAGAAAACAAGCAGAAAGATGGAAGTTCTGCATGTCCGGCGCATTTTGCGATGCAGCCTCCGAATGTGAATTCTCAGGGAGTATTTTCAATCTTGTGAGCGCAGGTTCTGTGAATGAGCACACGACTGCACAGGATGTACTGCATGGCCCCTGCACTCTCCTCGTGTTTCTTCATTCACTCGCTGCTCTCCTTCCCTCCTCCCTCCTCCTCTTCTCTACTCTTCCACCTCCCTCTACCCTCTAGCCGCATTGCGTTCCACGACCGATGCAACCACCCCCACCCCCTGGAATAATCAAAGAGGAACCCTACCCCCCCCCCGGCCATAACCCTTGCCAAGGAACTTCTAGCAAATCGATGAAAGCGCTAACAACACTGTGATGTGTTTTGAAAACTCGATGATGTACAAATATAAACGAGGTGTGAAGATCGACGATGTGTTACGATAGATGACATGTGAAGTGGTATGATGCAGTTTCATGAAGTTTCTTTCAGAGCTACGTCAAGTCTCATGTCAAGTTTCATTCACAATTCTTATCAGCTCCATAATGAACATTATTTACATTGCACGCGGAAATATGCTACGATCGGGCAGAAGACAGCGAGGTGAACAAGATAGTCAGGGAAGAGAAGACAACTGCATACAGGAGGAGCAGCCTCGTCTCGCAGCAGGACGCAGCAGAGCTCAGTATTCCTAGCGCCTCTTCCGCAGTATCGATAGTCGTCACTCGTATCGCCGTACCCTCGGGAGACAGAACTTCAGTCCAGCCGGCCCCTCCCTTGTGCAGGTAGCAGATCCGAGCAGATCCAACGCGCAGCAGCTTGAAGACAGCCGACCCGTTCGGCCAAGACTCGTACAGGGACGATCGGGCGGTCACAAGAAGCCTAGCCTCGCCTCCCAGCACTATATCGCTCATGTCGTCGGATCCCTTGCACGTGCTGTCATAGTGGATCAGCTTCACCTTGTCCAGGCTCGTAATGGCGTCGCCGTAAAACCAGATCCTCCGGTCAGCTGCGACTGCTGTTGTCAAGGGAAAAGCGCCGACTACCTGCGGGCTGACGACGGTGACGGTAAGGCCTGTGTCAAGGAAACTAGTGCCGCTATCGTACGAGTAGCAGAGCTTGCGAGTGCCGCTAGTGTAGGTTCCTGCTCCCACCAGCAACAACGAGAAGGATGCTGACTTGCCGTCGGTGGCTGCTCGAAGTTGAGGGGTGTAGGGATAAGAAGCAATCCTTGCTACACAAGATTCGCCGTCCACGAACTTGACAAAGTCATCGGAGGACAAAGAGACTCCCAGCACAGTGAACTCTTGCGGGCTGTTGAGAAGAAGCCGTTGAGATGGGGAGAGGCTGGAGATGATAGGGGCCTTGATGCTGAAGTTGCCGATGTCGATGTATTCCGACGCAAAGTCATACTTGAAGCAAACACGGACTTGCCCGATGGCTGATACTGGGAAACCAGAGAAGGAGACCGTGTTCTGAGTTGAAAGCTGATCTCTTGTGCAAGCATCGACCTGTCGGGTGCCTTGGCAGTATGACAGATACTGGTACGACAGCAGAGGGTCGTTGCTGTAAGAGGTCGGCCCACGAGGATCACCCTCGCTGACGGGGATGAGGTGAACCTGTGGCTCTGCACTCGAGGCCTCTGCTATGATATTGTTGAGGTTCACCGACGTCCCTCCGCACGCGTATCGGGACGGAACGATGACATACTTGCCTTTGTCCGACAGCCCGTTGCCATGAACAGTGATGGTGAGGGGCGTTCGACAGTACCAGTCCTGTTGGTTGACGTATACGTCCTCAGGGGATATCACAGAGATGGTCTGGTTTCTGCTGAAGAGCTGGTTGCTCGCCTGCTGGGGGTAGAGCGTCTCTCCGTACAGGAAGTGCATAGAATCGAAGTAACCATAGATGTAACCGCTAGTCCTCAGGTTCAACGGGTACGTCATTTCATCCCACACCTCTGACCCCTGGTACTGATAGCACATCCTGGCGTGTCTGAAGGGAAGCAGAAGCTGCATCTCTATCTCAGATGTGTACAGGTCAGTAGCCGACGCGTTCAGAGTGAAGACTTGTCCTCCAGGTATGTTGGGCTGCTGATCAGCGTTGGCACAGGAGCCAGGAGTATCCCCATCGATCACCTTGACCTGATCGCCAGCAGCAAGTCCCTTGCCGTGCAGGAGGTACTTGACTTTGAGACCCGAGAAGATGGTTGGTGGCTCCATGGCCAGGAGGTGGGGGGGTCGAACCTTCAAGTCTAGAGACTGTATGGCAAACGAAACTCCGAACCTGTACGCCGCCAGGCAGATCTTGTGGAACTCGCCGACGGGAGATTCGTCCTGCAAGGTGAACCTGACCTTGTACGCGAGGACGGGAGGGGACAGAGGCAGCCCCGGCCCCTCTCCCAGGCAGAAGGACTCTGTCACATCCACCATGTCACTCTCGTTCAGCCGTTGAGGTTCTCCTCCCCGCACGTGCGCGGTGACCGGGTCTACAAGAGGGTCGAGCGAGTCGCCATGGCAGGCTGATCGCGCTATGTAAATCACATCCACCGCTCCAGAATCGGCGATAACAAGCAGATCAACGGGAACGTTTCTGTACGCGTTGACCAGCCGCATGTCAATCCCAGGAGCCACGTAGCCTCTCTTGGGGTAGGCGGCAGGAACGACAGATGGGCTGCTGTAGCAACGAGACGAGCTGTTCCAGTCTAGGATTGCGGGCGTCTCGACCTCGATGCCGTTGCCAGGGCCGTGAAGGATCCATCGCGACTGGTAGGTGAGGATACAAGGCGGCAGCTCGTCGGTCATACCTGCCTCTACCCTCTGAACGTCCTTCTTGTAGTCAGCTTGAGGAAGGAACAGGAGAGGCTCAGTCCACTGCCTCAGCTCTACCGTCATCCTCGTCTCCTCAAAGAAGCTACTTGCATCTTGAGCATAGCACAGCTTCACAGTGCCAACTTGCTTCAAGTGATACGGCACGCTAGTCGCCTGCTGAGAGTTCGACACGTTCAGCACTGACGCGTTGCCGCCAGCGATCGAAGGAGCATCTTTGCAAGAGCTCTGAACTTCGACGAAGCGAACTTGACTGCTGGACGTCAAACCGACGCCACCAACCACAAACTTGGTAGTGTTGCCGACCCATGCGCCTGTAGGGAAGAGAGAAGTGATAAAAGATGTTGGTACCACTGTCAAGTTTGCTAACTGATGCTTCTCCTGTCCTCCCATACTCCAGTACACCTCAAACTCACCGGCTGTACTGAAATTCAGCTCGATAGATCCCATCTCCCCATTCTCCAGGAGATCAAGTTTCAAAGGTGCTGTCACGATTGGTTGCGAGCATTCACTGCTCGTGCAAACATAGATTTGAATCACTTCGTTGCTGTAAGCAAGCCCTTTCCCGTAAAAGTTCAAGGTCGAATACAAGTCTTTCCGTACCTGCTGCGGTAGGAAGTAATCTACCCTCCTCTGCGTCAGGTTCCAGACGTAGGTGGAGTCCTGGTATCCTTGCGACATGTACTTTGACATGCACGTCTTGACGGTAGCTGCCGTCACCTGTTGCGTCCGTTGGATGCCGTTGGGATACTCAACAACCCCTGACTCGTTGACGACTTTTCCTTCTCCTCCCGCCAGAGCATCGGCGAAGTCATCGGTACCGGCGCACGTCACATTCCCAGGAACAAGTTTCACATAATCGTTGAAGAACCTCCCGACGAAGGTGAACTTCAGGTAGAACGGCTGGCTGACGGCAAGGCTGTCCAGCCCGGTCCCACTGCCGTACGTCATGAGCGAAACGTTGATGATGTCTACCCCGATCAGAGGCAGCACCCCAACCTCCCTCCATTCCTCCGTCGCCAGTTGAATACAAAGTTTGACCTGCTGCTCTTGGATCCTCGGGATGAAGACGCCGAGGTACGCTGATTCCGATGATACAAGCTTGTCAAGCGTGCAAGAGTCGCCTCCTGCGACTGCCCTGCCGATCAAGTCGGGTTGAGAGCAGCGGTAGGTCGTCTGGATCAGGAGGCATCGAAGAGGTAGCTGAGTTAGGAGGCCTCGTCCTCTGATCGCAACCTGTTGCGGCTCCTCCATCACGATGGGCTCCTGCCAGACGCTCTCGACTCTCGGAAGCTCGACCTGCGCGTCCCCGACGTACGAGTAGCCAGCTGGATAGCCATACACGTTCGAGCTCGAAAACTTGAGACAAACTTTGCACCGGGAGCTGTTGGCTGACACAGACGTGATCAAGAAGTGAGCCAAAGCCTTGCCGACGTAGGCAAAGTTTGAGAAGTTGTTGGCAGTCAAGGCATCGAACGAGTACTCGCGGAAAGAGAGAAAGGTCGGCCAACTGCCGTTGATCACTCCGTAGAGGTCATAGTTGGCCTCGTCCGAGTTGGAGCCCGAGCAGGTCAGATGCTCGGAGATCAGTTTCACCTTTTCTGCCGCTCCCAACCCAAGGCCGGAGACAGTCAGGACGGAGGTCTGATAGTAGAAGAGTGGTGAAGACGACAGTCCAACTATCAGCGGGGGGCTGTTGTAGAGAATCAAGTGCCCAACTTGTCTGTAAGAGACGATTTCCTGCGGGAGGACGGCAAGATAGCAGAGCAAGTACTCGTTGTCCGCAACCTGAGAGCTCCAGGGCTCCGTGATGGTGAACACCAAAGTCGCACCAGTCCGCAGTGGGTTGACAAACGAGAGAAATCTGCCTTCACCTCCCAGCACAGCCCCGTCGGTGTCATTCCCACCACACCCAGCTGCTCTGCTCACAATCTTAATCTTGTCGGTCTCGTGCAGACCGTATCCTCCAAGACTGAACCTCGTGGTCACGAATCGAAACGTCTGGGAGGGGAACACGTTGTAGATCACAGGGCCTTGCACATCTATGCTGTAATATGCCTTGTATGTGAACATTGACACGATGAGCCTTCTGTCCACGATGACGCCGTTCTTGACGTACTGCTCCTCTCGGATAGGGTCTCGGCTGGCGACACAGATCAGCCCTCTTCCTGTTGAGTTGATGTTGAAGATCGAGAAGGCAAAGCTGAAGTTGGTGACGTTGACAAACCTGCCTCCTCCTCCGGGCAGGGTCCCGAAGGAGTCGTAGGCCCTGTTGGGGATGCTGAAGGGAGGAGGCACAGGCAGCGGCGATATCGACAGGTTGTAGAGCGAGTTGTTGCAGAAGCCTGCGTACTTGCACTGGCTGTCAAGCAAGCAGGTCATGCCGTTGTTGGGCTGGTCGCAGATGCCGTTGGGGCAGTTGGCGTCGGAGGTGCAGGGGGTGCCGGGAGGAGCTGGTCCACCGAGGCAGTTGGCTATCCCCTTGGCGCAGGTGCCGTTGTAAGTCATGTTGAGCCTGTGCTCGATCTCGGCGTAGGCTGTGGCTCGCTGGTTCAAGAGCAAGTCGAACTTGGCAAGCGTCTCGTTGTAGAGAGTGAGGTTGTTGCAGCCTGTTGCGAACGAGGAGACTTTGATGTGTACCTGAAGGTTTTCTGGAGCGAATCCTGACCCTTGGAGGTTGACGACGAAGGAGGACCTTGCCCGCAACTTGGGCAGCGTCTGAGGAGTTACCGATCTCACATCAGGAGCAGAGATTGGGACAGACACGTGCGAAGTCACCCACGTGGACTGGGTAAGGAACTGCTTCTTGTTCACCACCGGGGGTCTTACCGAAGTCAGGACTTTGTTACATTGTGACGATGTAGAGCAGTTGAGATAGACTCCAGTCAGCTGCAGGAATGTCTGGTAGTAGGTACAAGACTTGTCATTCATACAGGTCTGTTCACAACAGCTCGCATCACACAGGTATTGTTGGAAATTGTAGTTGGTCCCGGCGGCACATGAAGTAGCAGCGCAATGCGGGGGCGCGCAGTACAAACCAGTTCCTGCAAGCACTTGAACCCACTGAAACACTGACTGAGGAGCCTTGTAGCAAAGATACACGTTGGCAGATGAAGTCTTGGGCCGGAAAGTGACCAAGGCTTGTGAGGAGTTCAAGATACAGTCAAGAGGTTTCGATTCCCCTCCGGGTATGATGCTAGTCATGTTGTCACATGACTCTGCAAGGGCAAACAACGAGGATCCGACACCCGTTCTCTTCAGTCCCCGTCCGTAGAGGCGGAACGTGACCATGTCATGCACGACGACAGCTGGAGTAGAGGAAGAAGAGGCAAGGTCCAGCTCGACCTTGTTGAGCTGGAAGGGTAGAATATCCAAGAGAGCATACCCCTTGAAATCCTGGTAGAAGACGTTCATGTAACTCGTGTTTCCCTGGGCAGGGGACCAGCATATCTCGACAGACGTGTAGCCATCGACTATCAGGTTCATATCCATCTCGAACATCGATAAGCTCGTTCTTCCGTCTGCTGTAGACACACACTTGGGCACCATTCCCTGCCCTCCCGTCACGACGCCGGTCCAATCGTCTAGCGAGTTGAGGGAGCAACCGCCTCCTATCGCTCCGCTGAAGTTCGACTGATATCCATCCCGAGCTACGACCTTCACTTTCATGCTCTCACCGCCGAGTTCGCAGGGGATGCCATTAACATGGAGGGTCAGGTTGAAGGGAACGTTGGAGATAATGGTCGGAGGAACGATGAGCTGTGACAGGTATGCCCCGTTGATGCTGAGGATGTGAACGCGGAAAGAGTAATCGAACTGAAACGTCAGGGAGTTGAAAATCTCCTGGTACGTCCCAATGACCCGCCAGGGAAGACCGTAGCTCCCTGACGCCATGAAGTTCCAGCAGAACATGAGGTCGATGGGACCGTCGAAGACCGTCTCCTTCACCTCATAAACCAGCAGGGCTGTACCAGACTGAGGGGGCTCAACCGAGGTGGGAAAGAAATCGAGAGAATCTGAAGAAGCGCAGAGGCTGCTGGGAATGCAGTTGGCAGCAGTCGCACAGGTTGCAGAGGTTTGAAACCCTTGAGGCAAGCGAATGGGTTTGACAAAAAGTGCTGATGAGAACAGGTTTTGACCTTTGACGGTCAACATGATCGCTTGATTGGAGGCAAACAAAGGTTTGGTGGTTTTCCCCACGACAAAGTTGGCAGTCATATAGTCACTCGGTGTCATCCCTTCCACCACTGACGTCGCGATGCTCGCTTGGAAGGTCTTACCCTGGGAGTTCCAGATGTCTCGGTAAGCATACGGCCCCTGCCTCCAGCACAGAATCGAGTTGACGGTATCTTGAGTGTACGCGGTTGCAAACAGAGTGAAGTTGACACGAGCCTGGTAGACATTATTCAGCACTTGAACATCCATCGTTGTCCTTCCCTCGCCTCCCGGGAATATGTACAAGGTATCAGAGAAGGGATCGGCGACTGTACAAGATGTATCATTGATGAACTTGAATTTGATCGGAGCCAGCTGAGAGTCTGCAAGATTGCTGCCTGTGACATCCACGAAGAAGGTCTGGGAAGAAAGAGGAGTAGCAGAAGATAGTTGTACATCAGCAACTTCAGTAGGCCCCATGATGAAAGTCCCGTCAATCCGCCCATAGTCCGAGCTGGAAAATATCCACCACAACCTTAACGACGCGTTCACCATGGCGGCTACAGTCACGTCGAATACAAGCTCATTGCAGAACCCTCCCTGCGATGTACAGCTCTTGACAAGACTTGGAAGCGTCTGGTTGCCCCCCAGCACTTGTGAAGTAGTCGCTGTATCTGTCAGACTATCGCAAGCATCGTTGATGGTGCATGAGGCACCGTTAAAACAAGTTCGCGTGTCTTGGAGCCCTGCGCATGGCTCCCCTGCGTTTGAATTCTGACCACCTGAACAGTGGAAATGACTGCAGATCTTGATGAAGAAATTATCTGCTGCAACAGGAAAGAAGTTTTGACCACTGACAGTCAAGGTCTGCAAAGAATTTGATGGAAACAAGGAGGGAGTTACAGATTGGATCTGAAAACTGACAATCTCCAGCAAGGCAGAGGTAAACCTCTGGTAGCTGTTGCCCCCAACTCTAGTGCATATGGAAACATTCTTGGATGAGGTCCGGAGTTTGAAGTTCACGACACATTCCATCAGGGCCCCTATTTGAACGATCTGAGCGCAGGGCACTCCCTCCCCTCCCAAGACGCTTCCAAGCAGGTCACTCTCGGAGTTTGCCGAGCAATCTGTCGCTGCCTTCACTCTTGTCTGCCAAGGGCCTGACGACATGAAGCCAGTGCCCGTCAGAGTGATGGAATGGCTCAACCCTGCTGTGACCTTCAAAGGGTTCAACGAGACTGCCGTGACGCTCTTCAAGGTCATAGTCTGATCCCCGACCTGCTCCCACTCGCTGCCGTTGCCGAAGCGGGAGCACACCCGTATCGAGCTTTCGCTCCATTGTCCTCGAGAGGCAAGCACAGCCCCCCCGGCCACGTTGGCTGTCATGCAGTTGTCCATGGAGCCAGGGACAGATCCTTGCTGCAGACCTTGAACGATGTAGTTCCCGTTGGCGTCTGTGATGATGTAAGTCCCGCAGTAGCACGACAGCTGCTCTACGATCAGCTGCGGGGTGGATTTGTAGTTGGCCCCATAATTGGTGACGGTCGTCGCTAGAATCCTGCCGTTGTTGTCCACACTTGAGATGACTGCTTGAAATCCGTACCCCCCGTCACTGGACACGGCTGAGATAACCGCTCCCTGGGCGCAGCCTTGGGTGATACCATATCCAAGTGCAATGCTAGGGATCGACCCGGTCATGTTGCACAGGTCACTTGTCACATTGCCGCAGCGAACTGACCCAGCGAAGATCGGGAATATGTCAGGCTCCTCAGCAAAGAAAGCCGCGTCCTCCCGGAAGAACGTGTACGCCAAGTCACCAGCTCTTCCTACCAGGAACGACCCGATCACCGCGCGGGAGGAGGAAGCAGCTGCAAAGAGCTTCCCCGGTACGTATCCCTGACCTGCCTCAACGATCGAGATAGAACTGATATGACCCAGCAGAGGTCCTGCTGCGAAAGTAAAAGTTGCAGAGGTCGAGCTCAAGACTTGTGCAGGTTTGGCGTCGCCGCCAGGAATCAAAGAAGAGTCACCAGAGGTGTTACAACTATCACTGAGCTTAATGTACAACGGTATAGCACCAGATGTATCGAAATTCTCTCCAGAGATGGTGATGGTGGTTGAGAGAGCAGGCAGGATATCTTGCACTGGGAAAAAGTTTGTGGTTTGACGAGAAAACCAGCGAATAGAAGAAAAGACCAAAACCTGCGATGAGGAATCAAAGGGTGAGGACTTTGAAGCAATGAAAAAAGAATCACATTCTTAAAGGCTCCTTCATTGCTGGACATGCAGAGAGTGAGAGAGCCCTGGCTTTTGATCGCGTTCTGAGGAAGAAAACTCACGAGGCCCTGCAGAGGAATCAGAGAACTAGTAGAACCATCCCAAGACAAGTCACCGATCCAGCATCTGAGCTTGCCCATGACAACCCTCTTGCGTCTCCACCAAATATGTTACTAGCAGACGAGAAAGGATTCTCTGCGCAATCTCCCACTTGAAGTTTGAAAGCAAGTCTGAGGCATGTTGGTCATTCGGCTCAGAGACATTCCTCGTCATCACCTTGTACTCTGCATAATCATGCCGATGCCTTTCAAGCTCAAAGTCAGCAAACTATAACCGTACACCACTGTAGGATCCGCTGCCGCGGGATACGAGGCAAGGGAGACAGATGAAACATTTGGCCCGATGATCTTGAAAGATTTTGTGGAGACGAGGGACCATGACGATGAGGGATAAAGTTTGATGCAGACTTGTGCAAACTCTGCTGAATACAATCAGAGAGAGGAGTGGCACGATAGAGCCGAACAACCTGACTGCTCCTGCAAGGTAAAGGTCGCAGTGGCATTTTTCCCATCGCTTGACACTTGCCCAAGGTACCTCTGAGATCCTCCTCTTATTTCCTGAGGAAGAGGAGCATCGGAGCAAGAGTTGTTGGATCTCAAAGAGTTGTTTGAGACCATCACAAGATCAGATGAAGACAGGTTTTCTCCTTTGATGACAAGGGTGAAGCCAACCCACACAACAGATTGATCCGGAGCAAAGTCAGAAGCTGCCTTGCCTTGAACCTCCATCAATGACACAAGGGTCATCACAGCCATCAAGGCGGTAAGCGCTCCCTTCCTCATTCCACTCCCCTAGCAGCTCACAGAAGCATCGCTGTTTGCAGCTCTACATTCCAAGCTTCTCCTCCATGCTTCAGCGGGCAAGCCCACTGCTCAACTCGCATCATTTCTGAGTGCATGAAGGGAGCCGCAAGCATGCTTATCGTCGCTCCCCCCCTGGACTCGCATCGCTGCGGGCAAACATGGCGCACATCTCAAGTTTCTATCGGTTTTACCTCTAGCCGAGCTCGCTCAGCTTCTCTAAATAGTATTTGTAGCAGGACAGCTCGTCTAAATACCTTCTGATTGACTCGCATGCACCTTGCCGCCGTGGCCGGGCCCTCCGAGGCTCGTGATCGCCGGGATGCCCGCGGCCCGGCCGGGGACTGCCCGGCCAGGCCGCCTTGGTGATTTGGCATAAATACCAACTTGATTCGAGTCCAGCCGCTTCGATGGCCTGGGACTTGCCAGTGCAGGGGCCTCAGGGCCTGCTGAGTCTAATTGACTTTCAAGTCAATTTCGTCTTTCTCAAGTACTACCGGGTGTCCTAGGCAGTCTCGTTTCTGCCAGTTAGGAAACTAGTTAGAGAACTTACTTTTCTTTGTCTCCAACTTGCCGTCGGTTTGGAATAGAGTGCCGTTGGGATTGTGCATTGTTGTGCGCGCTTGTTCTTTGGTTTCTTCACGGATCACTTCGTCAACGGTTCCAGTGTGTCAACACTGGATTGAGAGATACTTGTAGGAAGTTCTCCTAACAGTGATGATGGGCCCGGGCCGCAGTTTGGACCCCACTGATTTCCGCCAAACGCTGTCTTGTTTTCTGACTGCACTGCGGCAGGGGGTCAGATCCGATGATCCGCCGAGACTTGATCCATGTGCTGCCGCACCGCACTGCGGCACCCCGGGCGGGCCCTGGCCGTTAGGCTCACCTCAGCCTACAGTGCCCAGCCCATTCAAGTTGCCACTGTGACCGTACGGTTGCAATCGGACCGTACCGCGTAGTGAGCACTGAAATCCGACTCCGGGCGGCCGCGGTGACTCTCACCGTCTTAAAACAGCGATCAGTAGCCTGACTTTATACTTGAACTTCGGAAAGACCTACTTAAGACTGGTGATCGCCGCAAACTTGCTTTCTACATCGGGAGCTGCAATATACGATTTTACAGACTGTACACTCAGATGATGGCTCGATCCCATCGACCTTTGACCTGCAGAGCAAGCATCGCCTCTTGAAGGACGTTTTCATTCTTCCTATCACCTCCTCCCGAGAGAGCTGGCGGAGATGAAGAAATTCACTGCAACACTGACGGAGGGAGGGACAGGTCAGGTCTTCGAACAAGTCCACACAAGACAGGTCTTCGTTGAGCACCAGTAGACTGTTCCCGTGCATGTCATGAATACCCCTCAGACCCTCCACAACATCCCTAGCAGTGTTCTCCGAACCACTTCCATCCAGCAGGAACAGCATCACACTGCTCTCAGCTTGAAGCATCTTTGCCACTGGGCCCGGCACAACCTCCCCGTACTCCTCGCGCAGAGTCCTTGCGGCGTGTTGAAACAAGGATGCAGCAGCCCTCGCTCCCCGCCTAAGACGCGCCTTCTCTTTCGAAGCTTCCCCCGAAGCGAACGCCGCAGTCAAAGTGGCCGACCCAGCGACCAGCCCCCCCCACAGGGCCTGAAGGTAGGGAATCACTACTTCCAGCGCTGCAACGGGATGAGCCCGTAGGAAGGAGAAGCATGCGTCGATGCAGGCGTTCCCCTGAGACACGATGAGCTCGCATTCGTCTGGCAGCGCTACCTTGCTGTGGCTCGCTACACACGTGACCTTGAAGTCGGCGACGCACCTTCCCAGCTCTGAGCTGGAGAACTCCTTTGTGAACCCGAGAGCTCGCAGTGGGCTCGACTGCAGTTCCCTCCGCTCGGCCCGGCATCGCTCGCATTCGCAGACGAAATGCAGGTTGGCTGCCCTCACCTCGATGGGAGCTGCCAGCAGCTCGACGGGGAGGTAGCTATGGGTGAGCTCTTCCCCTTGCTTGCAGGGTCTGTTGGTGAACATCGCCATGTTCCCTCCCATCCTGCGTGAGAAACAGTTTGGAAAGCACGAGTGGTTGAAGTAGGAGGCAGCACGATAGAAGGCAGCGCCGTACTTCACTCGCAGAAGGGCTGTGTCCAGCGAGAACGCGTTGTTGGCAACGGCCCGGAAGACTGAAAGGACCGTCTTCTGGGAGCAGCCGAACTCTTTCGCAATCCAGGCAACGTTTTCATTGGACTCAATCTCTGCTGATCGCGCGTCTGTCACGTACGACGCACTCCATGCTTCGTCTGAGCCATGTTGGAGCAGCAGGTAAGTGAGCAGCCATTCGTCGCTCTGGTTCGGCAGCCCCTCGATTTCCATACCCGGCTTGACAATCGCACAAGGCTCTTCAAACCACACAAGCTCTCCCTCTCCCATGCGCTTCGACGCGATGACATGGCGCCCGCGTGATTCATCGCTCATGACGGAGAAGTTTTCCTCGGTGAGGATCAAAGTGGACTTCTCAATTCCGCCCGAGTCTTTATGACGGTGTTTTTTCAGGGTATTGATAGATCGCTCTTCATCAGTGTGTGCTGCGTCTGATGGGTTCACAGAAAGTTGCTTCAAGCCATCTTCAAGTGCTTCGATCGCAATGGGGATCTCAACACACAGCTGTCCTTTCCTCCTACGGAATCGAGCCTGAGCCCTTTCTTCGTCCAAATTGTAAGGAAGTCCAATCTGAGACAAGACAGATCCCTGTTCATCGTGTGCCTCTCCCTCCAAACTCTTCAAGATCGCCATGAAGCCCTTCCCTGTTCCTGTCTTCCCTCCCTGCTTCAGTGCAAACTCGATCTGAGAAGCGCTCTGGATTCTTTCAGGCAGGGAGAATGTTACGACCACAGACCTTACCGCACCCTCCTCCACCACCTCCTTCACGTCTGCTCTGACCTCCCCTATGTCTGCCTTCTCCATCTTCCCAGTCCCTGTCATGCACCCGCCATCACCGCTGTCGCCGCCATCACCGAATAAAATTTTCCCAGTATGTGGGGGGATGAGGGCTAATTGGTCTGCCAGCTTCTGCGGTTTCACCCATCCTCCTAAAGGCGATCGGCGGCCGGCATGCGCCTCCTCTGCCGGCCTCGGCTGCAAGCTATGGCGAGCACAAGGATGAGATCCTCCTCTTCCTCCCGCTCCTCCCCACAAACTTCTTCCTCCAGCGCTGGGGCGTCCTCGGGTGCTCTCCCTCCAGCCGTTCGATGGGCTGCTGCGGCTGTTTCTTTCTCGCTGGCTGCGGTTGCTGCCGGTGCTAAGACGCATGCCCCTGCCGCCTTCCTTCCTCCGAGCCTGGTGGGAGGCTCTCGGTTCCCCTTGCGCTTGTCCCTGATGAGGAAGAACAACGTTGCTGGGCGAGTCCCCCGATGTGCCCCGCTCAGCATGACCGCCACCTCGCCCAAGGGTTCCAAGAAGAAGGGAGGGAACGACGAAGAGGAGGGGATTTACAGCAGCACTGTGAATCTCCCGGTGACCAACTTCCAGCAGAGAGCCAACTCAGTCGTCAGGGAGCCAGAGATCCAGAAGTTCTGGGAGGAGAATCGCATCTACGAGAAGTTGTACGAGTCCAATCCTGGCACAAAGTTTGTTCTGCATGACGGACCCCCATATGCGAACGGGAACCTTCACATCGGGCATGCCCTCAACAAGATTCTCAAGGACTTCATCAACAGATACAAGGTCATCTCCGGACACAAAGTCAAGTTCGTGCCCGGCTGGGATTGCCACGGTCTTCCCATCGAGCTCAAAGTCCTCCAGTCCCTCAAGAAAGAGGAGAAGGAGAATATGACCCCGATCTCGCTCAGGAAGAAGGCAGCTGAGTTCGCCAAGCAGACGGTCGATCAGCAGAGGGAGAGCTTCAAGAGGTATGGAGTGTGGGCTGATTGGAGTGAGCCTTACCTCACCCTCGACCCCAAGGTACTGTTTTCTATCTTCCCTCTACTTGTCTGCAGATGGTAACACGTTTTCTGTTGGAACAGTACGAAGCTGCGCAGATCGAGACCTTCGGTGCCATGCTGAAGGGTGGCCACATCTACCGTGGACGCAAGCCCGTGAACTGGTCCCCCAGCAGCAGGACAGCTCTGGCTGAGGCCGAGCTGGAGTACCCCGAGGGACACAAGTCAAGGAGCATGTATGCTGCCTTCACTGTGGTCGAGCCGTCGGAGGCTGTGAAGCCTCACAGTGAGAACCTCAAGGTCGCGATCTGGACGACGACGCCATGGACCATCCCAGCGAACTTGGCGGTGGCTGTGAACGAGAAGCTGGAGTACTCCATCGTTGAGCACCATGGGGTGAAGTACGTCGTGGCTAAGGACCTCAAGGGAGCCTTGGCTGCCAAGCTGAAGAAGGGAGAGGAGGACGAGGTTGAGCTGAAGGAGATCGCTGTCATTACCGGCAAGGAGCTTGCGGGAACCAAGTATCAGCATCCTCTGTACAAGGAGAGGATCAACCCGGTATGCAAGAGTTACAGGGGAGGGAGGGAGGGAGTGGAGGGAGGGAGTGGAGGGAAAGGAAGGAGAGGAGAGATTTGGAGAGAAAAGGAGAGAAAGAGGGGAGAGAGGAAGGATGATAAGGAAGGCTGTTGACTGTGCTACAGGTTGTGATTGGTGGTGACTACATCACGACTGAGAGCGGTACTGGTCTTGTGCACACGGCTCCAGGACACGGTGTGGAAGATTATCAGACCGGCCTCAAGTACGGTCTGGAGCTCCTGAGCCCCGTCGACGATGCTGGGAGGTTCACTGCCGAGGTGCTGGGGTGATGAGAGGAGGGTCGAGGCTGAGTGGCTGCGACAGGCTGGTCCTCTCCTCGAGGGGAAGGATGTGTTGAAGGATGGAAACGAACGGGTGAGTGCAGGAGAGACTTGAGTGAGGGTGGAAAAGGGTGGTGGCGGTGGCAATGATGATGGAGATGGAGATGGAGATGGAGATGGAGATGGTTGTTGTGATGGTGGTTGTGATGGTGGCGGTGGCGGTGGCGGTGGTGATAGTGATGATGGTGTGGTGTTGCTGCGGATGATGATGATCAGAGTTCGAGGTAGAGAAGACCCTCTGATGTAAGTGCTGCAGGTCCTTGAGCTCATGGAGGAAGCAGGAGCACTGATCAAGGAAGAGGAGTACGGGTGAGGGTTTGCTGCTTACGTGTTTCACATCATTGAGAGAGATTGTAGACACAAGTATCCCTATGACTGGCGCACGAAGAAGCCTACCATCTTTCGTGCTACTGATCAGGTAGAGGACCTTGTCTATCACACTCTTTTCCCTGCCCTCCTCCCTTCTCTCTCTCTCCTCCTGCCCTTCCTCCTCCTCTTACTTTTTCTCTTCCTCCTTCTTCTCCCCACTCCCCTCTTCTTCCTTCATGTTCCCCTCCTCCTTCCTCTTCCCTCCTCCTCTCCCCTCCTCAACTCTTTTTCTCCATCACTGCCTCTCCGCCTCTGTTCCTCCTTGCGCTCGTTGACATCTTGATCCTCCTTCCCCAGTGGTTCGCCTCTGTCGAGAACTTCCGCGAGAAGGCCATGGGCGCCATTGACACCGTGAAGTGGATCCCGGAAGTCGGCAAGAACCGCATCTCCGCCATGGTGGAGGGCCGCTCGGACTGGTGCATCTCCCGCCAGAGGAGCTGGGGTGTTCCCATCCCCGTCTTCTACCACAAGGAGACTGGAGAGCCTCTCCTGACGGCCGAGAGTATCGACCACATCCGGGACATCATCGCCGAGCACGGCTCTGACGCCTGGTGGGAGAAGGATGTCGCTGAGCTGCTTCCTCCCTCCCACAAGCAGGAGGCGGACAAGTGGGAGAGGGGCAGGGACACGATGGACGTCTGGTTTGACTCCGGCAGCTCCTGGAACGGGGTGGTCAAGAGCTGGGGAGAAGGCAAGGCGCTCGACTTCCCAGCTGACATGTACCTGGAAGGATCGGACCAGCACAGAGGATGGTTCCAGTCTTCCCTCCTGACCTCAGTGGCGGCGCAGGGCACGGCCCCCTACAAGACCGTGTTGACGCACGGCTTCGTCCTGGATGAGAAGGGCTTCAAGATGTCAAAATCGCTCGGGAACGTGGTCGACCCTGCCCTGGTGATCAACGGAGGCAAGAATCAGAAGACGGAGCCAGCCTTCGGGGCGGACACGCTGAGGCTGTGGGTGGCGTCGGTTGACTACACTGGAGACGTGCGAGTGGGAGGGAACATCATGAAGCAGATTTCCGACTCCTACCGCAAGATCAGGAACACCCTCCGCTACCTGCTCGGCAACCTGCACGGTTTCGATCCCAAGAAGCACTCGGTCAAGTACGAAGACCTTCCCTCCGTCGACAAGTGGATGCTCGGCAGGCTTGCAAGGGTACAGGAGGAGGTGAGGGACGCGTACGACACGTTCCAGTTCTACCGCGCGTACCAGGCTATCCTCCAGGTGTGCATCACCGAGCTCAGCAACTTCTATCTCGACATCGCAAAGGACAGGCTCTACATCTCCGCTGAGGACGACGTTCGTCGACGAAGCTGCCAGACGGTCCTTCATGCTGCGCTGGAGATGCTGACTACAGCCATCTCTCCCATGCTGCCCCACATGGCGGAGGACGCCTGGCAGAACCTGCCCTGGGAGCACGTCTCGTCGGTCTTCGAGCATGGCTGGAAGCAGCTGGATTACCCGAGCCACGAGGGAGAGCGCTGGGACTACATCCGATCTTTGCGGGATGACGTGAACCAGTGTATGGAGGCTGCTAGGGCCGACAAGCTCATCGGAGCGACGCTCGAAGGCTCGGTTGCCATCTACGTGGCCGATGAGGAAAAGAAGCAGTTGGTGACCTCGCTCCTCCACGAGGTCTCCATGCTCACCAGCGAGACCTCGCCAGGGTTCAACAAGGTCGACGACCTTCGCTTCCTCTTCCTCGTCTCCGACGTCAAGATCGTGGACACCCCGGAAGACGTGACCTCCCTCTGCAACGAGAAGCACACGCTCTCCATCTCCGACTCCGCCAGCGGCTGCTTCGTTGGAGTTGCAAGGGCGCAGGGCAAGAAGTGCGAGAGGTGACAGCTCCTCCTCCCTCCTCCTCCTCCTCCTCACCATCCCCCGCTCTCCTCGTCCCTTCTCTAACCACCCCTGACTTATCCGATGACGTTTTCATCCTCCTCCTCTATCATGCCCCCCACTTCCTCACTCCTTCCCTCTCTGTACGCTTTCTTGCTCTGTTCTCACTTTGTACATCATCAGGTGCTGGTTCTACTCGGACACGGTCGGGACACACGAGGGACTTGAAAACATCTGTCCTCGCTGCGCGCAAGCAGTGAAGCAGAAGCAAGCTGCTTAAGGAGCCGCTTCCACACCTCCTGCTTGTAGGATGTTACGATATGATGATTTAGATTGTATGACTTGTCAGCACTTTCACAAACCCTCTTTCCCCTTTGCGTTTCCCTTCCCCCATTCCCTCACCCTCTCGTCTCCTCCCCCTCTCCCTTTCCCTCTCCCCCCCCCTCGCTCTCGCTCTCGCTCTCGCTCTCGCTCTCGCTCTCGCTCTCGCTCTCGCTCTCGCTCTCGCTCTCGCTCTCGCTCTCGCTCTCGCTCTCGCTCTCGCTCTCGCTCGCTCCCTTCCTCCCCCCCCCCACCCAAACAGAGAATCAACATTCTGTTGTTGAACATGTGCCCCCACTGTCCTCTCCTCTCCTTGTCATTCATCCAATTCATTATCACATCACTTCTCTCACGTTCATTCAACTCGCTGCTCCAACGCTCTGATGATGGTATCAACCCTTCCTTGCGACCCATACCATCTCTTCCCCTCCTTCAGCTCCCTGTGTAGCTCAGGAGCGATGGCAGCGGGATAGCTCGGAGCATGCGTAGTGTCCTCTAGCACTATTTTCTCCGACCCCTCGAAGCTCAGCGAGGAGTGCAATGGGGTTACACCGTCCCCGTCGAGCTCCACAACCTCCTCCTCGGGGAAGCCGCAGAAAGTATCTGCAGGAGCGTCAGACAGGAGGCGCATGGCAGCAGCAGCCAAGGCAACTTACAAGCATTCCTAGTGAAGTCGTTGGACGCTCCCAACGTCCCTGTCCCCCCGACAGCAACGCATCGAACGCCGTCAGGGGCTCCTTCCCTGTTCGCCCACTTGACGTTCTCAAACGCGATCCCCTCCGAGTCTCCATGCGGCGTCCCCAGCGTGATCAGCGTGCGCACGAAGCGGCTGCCGGCGTACGCTCGCCCTCCGTACTGCCGCACGGACAGGAAGATGCGGGATATCCATCCTGCCGCGCTGTGAGCGACTAGGATAACTTTGGAGGCTGACTGAGGAGCAGGAGAGCCTCTTGAAAAGTCTCTTCCCCTTGGCTCCACAGGAGGAAAATCGTCAGGGGAGCTGCTGCCTCCCACTTGAAGCATTCCGCCAGGGTTTGTGAAGAAGTCGAGGAGGAGGTCAGCTGGAGTATAGCTGTAGGGAGGAAGCACAAACTCCCCGCTCTTGTCCCACTCTAGAGCCCTCCGAACTGTATAGTCTATCCTCTCCAGGACAGGACGGGCGCTCCTCCCTCCCAAGCAAGGTATCCATTCCCACCACTTCATTGGGACCACAGCAGCGGGCCAGCCGTCCTCCCTGAAGTGTCTTGCCATGGGCTCGAAGTCCCTGCAGTCCATGAGGAATCCAGGGACAATGATGATCACGTCTCTCCCCTCCCCTCTGCTCTCTCGCTCGCTCCCCTGCGCCATCATAAGGGCCGCAAGCTGCCGATGCTGCACCCTGGGCAGGGTCATCCCTCCTCTCCTGGACCATGCACTTACAGCGAGCGCTCTCTGCTCCCATGGAAGAGCTCTTGACTTCGGCATGGTTCCCGTCATGAACGACTCGGACGTTCTCACCATCGCCAGCGTCACCGCTACCATCATGGCAGCTGCTAGCCGCCCCACCATGCTGCTTGAGAGCAGGCGGAGGCAGCGTCTTTGCGCCATAGGATGAAAAATGCTGCCTTTCTAATCATCCGTGGTTCATTGGCACTCAGTGACTGACTCAGTGCTACCCGGCGTGACTCCGGCGAGGCCCGGCCCGGACCCCGGGCCGCCGGGTGACGGCGGCGCACTGCGGGGTGCCCGGCCTGTTGGCAGCGGGCCTGGCGCACCGGCTGGAATTAACCTTCCCAGGCCACTCAATACCGTCAAGCCGCAGTGATGCGGCCCGGCCGGGCCCGTGACCGCCGCGCGGCCGTACTAGCCATGACAGTGACGGTATGACTGACACCGTGAGCACCGTACTCTGCTCTGTGGGTCATTTTCAGTGAGATTTTTATTCATTCGTAGACTGAGGTTACTAAGCCAATACAGTGCCACAGTGGGGAAAAGTCAAGATACAAGAATACAAAGTAAAAGGCAACTTAGTTCGGAAACACGGTTGATCGGATGGCAGAAACTTCCAATGTCGCGAAGTGCATGCGGGCTGGTACATGTACATGGGCCCCTCGCAGGGGAATCAGAAAAGTGGGTCCGGCGGCGGACTTTGCACAAATAGGACTGTGATACTAATCTCTGCAAAGAACAGTAAGCCCATTGTTTGTCAAGATCCGCTAAAAAAATGTTGCATTTCACCTGCAAAGAGAGAGAATGAGCTCCTGTATCTGTTGCATCTTTTCATCCTGTTGGTGCTTCAGGATTTGAGCTTCCTGTTGGCTGATTTCATATTGAACCCTAGAGGCAATTGTCAGCTCAAACCAAAGATTGCTCAAAGTGTCAGTAGCAAGATGAAAAGTGCACTCACCTACAGTACATCAACATTTGCCATAAGTGAAAACATCTCAACATCAAGGTAGAATTCCTCCTCCTCTCAAGCAGACTCTCAAACAAAGTTCTCTGGATCTTCAATGTCCCACATGCTTTCTCATCGCCGTCCTTCCGAACAACCACCTGCTCCTTGAAGTTTGAGCCGTCTTCAGGTGCAGATTTCACCACGTTGTCGTGAGCTTCTAGTGGAGAACGAGGTGTGTGTTGACGAGGATTCTCGTCGGCAGGATAGAGGCCGCTTCTTGGGGATTTCTGGAGGGAGATCGATTTGAATAACCCGCCATGGTCGTCGCCGACAGGGAAGATGCAAAATGTGTTGGGATCGACGGTGAGAGGAGAGCAGAATGGTGCATGACTGCGTTCCTCTGGTAGAGTTCTCGAAGAGCATGAGTTGCCAGAGGATGAAAGCAGCTTGATGCCCAAGGGAGGTGCTCCATGCTGGCAAATTACCTCCTGCACATCTTTTCGTTGCTCAGGGTAGCATTGCTTCCGAGAGCCAGTGATGACACCTACATCCTTCGCATGCAGACCATCATCGATTGCTATCAAAGAAGAGATGGGAACATCGCGCAGATACCCGATGCCTGTCAGATCAAGCACAGCTTGTCCATCGTGAATTTCCAGAATCCTTGCAAAGTAGCCGTCGTGGGTAGCAACACTGCTACCTACATTCAGCTGATCACAGTCCATCCTAGGATGCAAACGATTCAGCAGCTCCAATTACTGACAGCTGCTAAAATCCGTCTGTCCAATGCCGATGACAAGGTCTGAGGGAATCAGACCGTTAAAAAAATTGAACGTTGCTACGGTGCACTAGGACGTGCGGCACGAGGAGGAGGCGATTCAGCGTCGGACTGTCCTTATCTGAAGCCGAGGGGAGGGGGGATGCAGTGGGAGAGGAGGAGGGGGGAGGAGGGGAGGGGAACGGAGCGAGGCAGCGAGGTAGCGAATTCGAGCTTCAGGTCAGGCGGCATTCACCATGGACCCTTCACCGTTATTTTACCGTTACAATATCATCTTCGCGTGCATGTGGGGATGAGGGCATAAACGGATGATGACAGATTTGTTCCATGGAGTTGAACCGATGGAACGAGGAGGGGAGATAGAAGGGAACATGCCGTGGGGATGGAGGAGAGGAGAGGAGAGGAGAGGAGAGGAGAGGAGAGGAGAGGAGAGGAGAGGAGAGGAGAGGAGAGGAGAGGAGAGGAGAGGAGAGGAGAGGAGAGGAGAGGAGAGGAGAGGAGAGGAGAGGAGAGGAGAGGAGAGGAGACACCACGTGTCAGATGAGAAGACATGAACGATACATGAGGTCATTCAGTCCAGGATCTTGCTACAAGTCGAACCTTCGGGAATCTGCGTGCTGCTGTTTCTCCTTATAAGCTAGATCCCTTTACTGTACTCGCTCAACATGAACGCCTCGCCAACATCTCGTGCAAAGAGCAAGAACCCTCCGCAATGGAGGCTAGCTGCTGCCGAGAGGGCCAGAAGGGGCTTCGTAAACCACCATGTGGACACAAGGAATCTGGACGGATACCTGCAAGACCTACAGGATGATGAGTCGGACGACGAGAAGCTGTCCAAGGCCTTTCATCTCACGAGGACAGAGCAGCCGCAAGAAGCTCGAGAGCTCGCAGAGGAAGCGCTCAAGGACAACCCGGCCTCGGCATCTGCCGTGTTTGTCAGCGCTGCTGAGTGCGAGTCAAGGCAAGATTGGGCCGAGGCTGCGCGCTTCTTCCTCCTTGGGCTGAGCCACAACAGCGCAGACACTTCGATGGAGCATGGCTTCCAGACCAACGTCGACATGCTGAGATCAAACAGGAATCGCCATGTCGAAAGGCCCAAAACCAACAAGTGGGATGAAGGTCTGGTGTTCAAACCCCAGCAGAGGCAGGTGGAGAGGAAGGTGAAGGCCACCGAGAAGCCGCCATGGTACCGGCTGGGCCCGGTGTTTGAGCAGCTGATAGACAACCCCGGGTTCCTGAGTGACCTGACAGACGCTGAAGCAGACCCTGAGGCCGAGAAGATGGAGTTGAGGCGGGTCATCTACCAGAACCTTCCCTTCTTCAACCTGATCTACAAGTACTACGCAGACGATCTCAACGAGACGGTGAGCGCGGAGCACAACAATCTGATGGAGGTGGAGTTCGACGGGCATGACGCAAAGGCCGGCAAACAGAAGTTGAAGCTCAAAGGGTTCTGGAGGCTCCTCAAGGAGTGCAAGATAGCGGTGGGGAATGCGAGGACGAAGATGCCTGTGGCCGTGTTTGATAGGATCTGGATCCAAGGGAATCAGAGGATGTCGGTTCTGAACAAGGATGCAACTTATGACGTCAGCACGGAGGACCCGCACGACCCCGAGCACGTCATGACTTTCTATGATTTCATGGAGGCCATCATTAGAGCTGCTGCTCTGAAGTTGAATGGAACTGTGAGCAGTAGATTTGAAAATCTCCTGAAGGATTTTCTCAAACCCTTTGGAATGCGAAAGCAGACGGAGAAGGCATTCCTGGAATTCAGAAGCGAGCCCATAAGGGGACTTCTTTACCGACAAAACATTCACACTAACTTGAGGAAGATCTTTGACTACTTTGTTTCGACCTATCCTCACAACAAGATCAAGAGGAACGTGATCGGGCCGATGGACCTGACGATGTCGTTGAACCATGTCTACTACGCGCTGGAGAAGATGGAGGTGTTCGATTCCTTGTTCAGCTACAAGAAATGTGTGGCCACGTATTGTCAGGTCACGTGCGACAGGTAACAGTGAAAATCGTTCTCTCGTGAAGCTGATACAGCCACAGCGATCTTCTCCCTCAGGAGCATCCCAACAACCAGAACAGTGAGATGACATTCGACGAGTTCCTCGAAATGGTGAGGGCATCGCTTGCCCCGAGCCAAGAACTCGAGCATGCGCAATTGACGCTTTGAGCTGAATGTCACCTGCCAGATGCTTCGGATCGCAAGGAAGAAGAAGCCTGTCGGGGATGCAAAGAGTGCTCTGAAAGAGTTCTTGGCACATGTGAGAACGCCCTGCTGTTTGTCCGACTGGCTCATTGTGAACCCTTCCAGGTATTCCATGTTTGTCAGAACCTGGTCCCGTGGAAGCTCCAAGATGTCAAGGAAGACATTGCCTGAGGCTTGTAGCACTTGAAAGGAGGAGATGATGGAAGTTTCACCTCAGCACGTGAAACAGTCTCATGAGGCCGTTGAAATCCTCCAGATTGTCGCGCAGCCCTCCATCATCAATCACTTGCTTCATCATCGTCAGCCTGGCCGACACCTCCGAGCCCGTCCAGTCAGTGTAGTTTGACCGCAGGAAGTGCTTCACGTTGGGACCATCGTAGTTCATGAAAGCTAAATCTTGTGACACATAAACTCTGTACAGCCTTGCCCTCTCTTCTCGGTCTGAACTTTCCAGTAATCGCTGTAGTTCATACTGGTCACTGTTCCTGCCCGCTAGCATGGCAATTACAGATTTATCCAGCCATGCCTGACTGAACTCCCGTGCCCGGGCATGCTTCAAGTTCCAGATCATCACCCCGTCGTTGACATCCCACGTATCTTCCTCATCTGACGATCCCCGACAGACGGCGAACAGCTGGCTCGAGTTCAAGGCCTGCAGGGGAGAGAAGGAGAAGTTGAATACCAAGGCGTCTGCGTCAAGGTAGAACGCCACGTCGTACCTCCCGTCCAGCACCAGGGCGTTCAGGAGGAAGACCTTGTTGAAGGCTGATAATGAATGGTTGGAAAGCAAAGGGTCAATTGCTGATGAGATCGTACCAACCACGGATAGGTAGTCGAAACCTCGCAACGCTGCATACCTCCTGTTGATGCTTGCAGACGCCTCTAGCAAAGGCGTGTACAGGCCTGACCCGCTGGTTTGAACCACCACCACCTTGAGTTTTTCTGATTTCCTCCATAGACTTCTCTTCCATATCGATCGGAACTTTTTGTCTCCTACCCGGAACGGATTGTGCCAGTGTCGCAAGCTGATATTCTTACAAGGAATGAGCCATGCTCGATCAGAAATGTCTGAGGAAGACGTGGAGTTGCCGGCATGGCTTCGGTTTTGTCTTGCAGGAGCAGGTTGAGAAAGATCGCGTCGTTCGTCATCGCACTGACACATAAATCTTCCTCCATCACAGCTCCACCATGCATACCAACCAGGCAGGCAAAGTGGGTGAGGACTGGGAGACTTCGAAGAATGGAGCAGGGCATGTGGGAACGATGTACAAACATAGGTTGTTCCATTCATCTCGCATGCATTGAAGTATCTTCGTGAGCAGTGAAGAAATCGATCCACTGGTTGGTGCATCGTGGTTGGTGGTTGGTGCATCGTGGTTGGTCGTTTACGCCAAATCCCTGCCTTGGGAAGCACTGTCCGCCGTTGGATTCTAACCGGTGCACCTTCCTCTGTCGAGATCTGGATGCTAATAAAAGTCAAACTTGTCATCTGCAAGGCGGCGAAGGAAAAGATTATGGCAAGAAACTCCAATCCCCGCCTGAGCTTCAACATGGCACTCGTCACACTGCGATGAGTCTAATCGAACGCCTGCCCTCCTCACTGCCCCTCACTGACTCGACTGACTCACGACTGACTTGATCGACTCCCGAGACATGTTGCGATACATCCCGTTGGCTTCAGCGGAGCTGCTGACGGCATGCTGTTCTCCCCTCGCGACATCATGGTTCAGAATGACCATCGGGGGAATATCAGACTATCCCTTGCCCCCTTGATAGATCAGCAGGGTACCGGTAACCCAAGGAACCTACGGCGGTTCGGAAAAAATAATCTTTCGAACCCGCCTCAGAAGTTTCAAGGCAGAAGAGAATTTCAGAAAGATACCATTTGCTGCCTCTAAAATCTTTTTGATCTGAGGCGGGTTGCCAAGGGCAGGAGAGATTCCCCAGTCATGCCGGCGAGGAGGAAGCAAGAGACCGGTCCTGACATCAATGGCGACCTCTGACAGGCTGGGACGACATGAATGGCGACCTCTGACAGGCCGGGATGTCGCAATGCTGCCTGTTCCTCCCAGGGCACTGTCCGAATGAGGGAGCAGAGGAGTTGCGGGAGGGGAGAGTTGCCTGCTCGAGGTGGATAACAGGGAACTCACGAGAGGAGCAAGTACAAGAGCCCAACTGCATCTGTGCGCCTCTTGACAATGGCGAGAATGCGATGGGCAGGAAATTGCGAACGGGACCCCAGGACGGTTTTAAAGAGGTGGTTGTTTTACGAGGACGAGGTCACATCGCAGGGGATGGCGGGGAGCTCCCCGGTTCAACCTATCCCAGGATTGAGCATGACGATTCCAACTTGATTCACATCTTGCCCTCGATCGTGTTGTTTGGACGCGCTCTGGCGGTGAATGGCTCAGGGTATCACAGCGAAGTTGAAGACTGCTCTCGCCACCTCGATCATGATTGCCAACGGGAGCTACATGATCGAGATGTCAACAATCGATGGGTGCAGGTTCTAGTCGCGTGGCTGAGGGAGTGTGCAAACATGTTGGAGAGGGTCGAAGATGGGGGCAGCACTGCACACAGTCACCAGCGCTCATGCAGGATAGAGAGGAACGATGTTCTCCCCCCTGAAGTTGACGCGGCGTTGAGACCTCTTCTAATCTGCAGTGTTATTGTGCTGCTCCCGTCCACGAGGGCTTGCGCGTTTCTCGTCCGGACGAATCGTTTGACAATCTGGGTGGTAGAGTGCTGTGCGCAAGAGGTTGCGAGGGGAGAAGGGAAGACTCAAGTGTTCTTTGATCTCGAAGGAGACGTCTGTGTGAGACGCTGCCTTGATGGAAGGGAGTTTGAGACTTTTGACTCCCACACCATGCAGCTGAAACTTGCTGCTGATCATCGGTCTGAGATCTTGATGCTCGGTATGTCAGGTTTTGACGCTCTGGGATCAAAGAAAGACATGCCAGTGGATGGTGAGGGTGTAGAACCTGATATCACCTCCAAGTTCCATAGCCAAGATAACGAGGTGAGTCTGTTTTGAGTTTTGCATCTTGCAATACCTCACTCACTCACTCACTCTAATACGTGGGCAGATGTCAATTCCAAGAGTGATGGGAGGGCAAGGCATGCCGGTTGGTGTACGATGCATCTAAACTGCGATTTGACTTCCTTCTGTTCACAGACAGATGTCTCCGCACAGCTCTACAGAACCTTTCGACCAGGCATGAAGTTGATCCTTAGAGGACGAGATCATCCCCGGAGCTCCGAGATGAAAGAGAGAGCTCAGGGAGATCCCATCGGGTGTATGATAGTGGGAGCAGGAATGCGCGATGGACCCAAGGATGCTTCATCGCAGGGAGAGTTTTACCTTGACTGTCAATTCCTTGCTGTGCGTGCAGACAGGCTGTGGGCCCTGGTCGTCTCATTTCGCGTTTCTGGATTCAGCGGATTTGTAGAGCACGACTTTCCGTTAGTCCCTTTGACAGACGAAGCGACTGAGGTAAACGCTGTCATGCTACAGGTGACCCTCTCATCATTGCTGTACTTTTGCAGAGAAGGATGGCAGATCGATTCGAAGCGCTGCAGGCATACCATCAGGGGTGTCATGCGTTCGAGTATCCTCGTTCCGCTTTCTTGCCGTGGGGATCGGAGGCTCCTTCGTCTTCCCCGCACGGCAGAATTGTGCTAGACTCTCAAGAGAGCCTCAAGTACTTGGAGGGTGCTACATCCTCGAAGCATGCAGGTCAACAAACGAGGGAGGAAAGCGAGGGCTCCTTGGGATACTACTTTGAGAACCTTCTCTTCCAGCTACTCCATCATTTCTGCATCAACGACGACAGGGTCGCGGTAGCAAAAGTGCGCGTTCTCCCATCATCCTGGCCGAGGTCGCCAATGGAGAAAAGAGCCATGCATGAGCTCCGCTCGTGTGCAATCCCAGTCGTTGCTGGCTACTCTCTCTCCCAACGACGATGGGGTCATGTGCTCATCGATCGTGTCTCCCCAGTGCTGTACAACAATCATGCTTTCCATGATGTGCTCATGAGTCAGAAAAAGAAGTAAGCCTTCATTATCTACATATTTTGAAGGAACCGTTGACTTGCTGGTCAGGATCATGTTGCTCGCTGCTGTTGAAGGACACGCACTGCAAGTTGGGGGAGGGGCAACGGTTGTCATGCTACATGGAAGTCATGGAGTTGGGAAACGATTCATCGTAGGAGCGAGTACTTCGCACGTTGACCAAGAACATCTCCCTCTCTGACTTACCTCATTCAGTCGGAGACGAGCTGAAGCTGCCAGTGCTGAGGATTTCCATCAGTCAGCTGTGCCTGGAGCTTGAGACTGTGATAGACTTTGAAAGACGACCCCTCGCTTGTCTAACAACTCTCTTCACAGTTCCGAGAAAGCTTGCTCTCTGCTCTAAGCCTCGCTACGAGATGGAGGGCGATGGTGTTCTGCGAGCATGTGGAGTGCCTGTCTTCCATGTCAGGCAGCCTGGACTACATCTTCGCAGAGATCATCCGGTCTTATGACGTGAGTTCAGCTCAACTCTTGCAAACTCTTGTTTCCAATAGTGTCGTTGACCATTGGAGAATGCAGGGGCTTGTGTTCATGACCACGACACAGATGTCGCAGTTGTCTTCTTGCTTACACGAGTGTTCAACCCTGACTCTAGAGATCACCGTGAGTTGTTTCAGCACTTTCCCCTCATTCGCCTTTACGGTGCGAGCGGCAGGAGCTCGAGGGCGATGAGCTGAGTGCCATGTGGGCGCGAGAGCTCTGCGATACGTTGGAGCAAATGAAGGCCATTGGCATCATGCTGGAGGACGGCATCGACTTGGTTCAGCTGTCGGGCGAGCCCATGAAGCCTCGTCAGGTGAGTCTGCCTTGGCCTCGTGATAGAACACAGCAGACGAGGGCTCATGAATCGTGAGCAGGTGAAGCAAGTTACTCGCGTTGCTGTCCACCTTGCAAGGACGGAAAGAAGCTCCTATCTCCGTCAGGATCACCTCAGGAGGGCTTTGTGCATACATTCTGAGCAGCAGGCCGAGCGGGTAGGACGTCTCTCACTTGTTAAGCCTCGTCCTCGTCCGCGACCCCTCGCCATCTCCTACCTCCTGCCATAACCTGCACCTGGCAACTACTAGGCGCTAAACGCATGTAGTGAAATGTTTCTGTATAAACCCCTATAGTCAATTTTTGCATTCGATCTGAGGCGGGTTAGATCCTCCGAGCGACCACCCAGCCTGTCATATCTGGTGGTTTCACGGGTACTCGACTTTACGCCCCCTACGTTTGTCAGGCTGACAGCCGAAATCGCGTCGGCTACAGGAAGCGGCAGTCAAGTAACAGAGATTCACACATGATTCTTGCTGAAGCGATTCGATTTGAGCTGGTCAAAATAGTTTTTGTGTGGTTCACAATGCAAGGGGCGCGAAAACCTTAATTTCCAAGTCGTGGCCTTCGAGGAAGCCAATACCACAGGGGGGTTCCCTTTTTCGACAGAATGTACCAAATTAAGCTGTTTTCACAACAGATTATTCGAATCTTTGCATATAGTTTCAGAAATAGCTCAATTTAAACCCTTCAGAGGGAGTGGTCGTAATATCCTTGGATTCCAAACGATGAACTTTTTACTTGCTGACGTCCAGCTCATTAACCTCTATATTTGCAAATAGTCTAACAATCATCAACGTTTGACTGTAAATGATTACCGGTATCTATCCGTTTAAGTACCCACCCTTTTGCTGCTATACCCCTTTACATAGGTGTTATATGTGTTAATAGCTATTTTGGGGGCTGAAACGTAAGTCAGCGTATTAATGAAATCGAGCTTTTTCGGCTTCTGATTCCTCTTATTAAGACCCTAACTCCCCCCGACAACCAGACGCTTCCCTCTCCCTTCCCCGTCGCAGCAACCGCCTCCTCCCGCCGCCCTCACTTCTTCCTGTGCTGTTCTTGCCTCTCTCCTGCTTGCTAGTGTTCGAATCCTCAATCACCACCTTTTTCTTGTTCCTTGCACCGAAAAGATGATGTCATACAGTAGCAAGCTCCGGCGTCCTCTCGCGATGGCCTTCGCCGCCACCTCCAAGGTCATGCACCCTATGCACTTGTCAACGACAAGCTCTTTGGCCCCGATGTCAAAGCTGCAGCCACCAACAATGGCTGCTTGCTCCAAATCCTCGTTGAAAGGGCTCAAGATGTGCTCGGGGCAACGAAGCATGGCCATCGCGAACCAGCAGACGCTGCAGTCAGAGCACTACCCCGAGAACATGGCTTGCTATCAGTGCTCGCAGACGGCGCATGGAAAGGGATGCTTTTCAAACTCAGGAGTTTGCGGCAAGCAAATGGGAACTTCAGCGTTGCAGGACCTTATCGTGGAGATCAACAAGGAGATCGGTCAGTTGGCCAATGCCGGGAAATTGACGCCGGAGATGCGCGCTTTCTTCCTTGAGAGCATGTTCTCTACGCTCACCAACGTCAACTTCGATGACAGCAGGATGGTGGACTATATTCGCAAGGGTCAGGTCCTTCTTGCAGCTGCCAAGGGAGAGAGCAAGTCCGTCAACGACTTCGCGTCCGAGCCCGACCACTGGCTCGAGGTCGCGGAGACCTACTCGCACGCCGCTCGTCAGAAGAACTTGGACCCCGACGCTTTCGGTCTCATTGAGCTGGCCACCTATGGAATCAAGGGAGCCTGCGCTTACATGTTCCATGCCGAGGCCGTCAAGAAGCAGGCGCCTGATGCATACCCTGACCAAGAGGCCAACCAAGTGATCGATGGGCTGCTCAAGATCATGGCTGCCATGCTGGAGCCTACCAAGCACGACCTTCTTGCGCTCTCGTTGGAGGTCGGAGCCCTGAATGTCAGCGTGATGAAGATGCTCTCGGATTCTCACAGAGCTCTTCTTGGAATTCCCAGCCCCCACGAGGTCTCCTGCAAGCTCAAGCCCGGCCCCTGCATCCTCGTCTCGGGTCACGACTTGGCGGATCTCAAGATCCTCTTGGAGCAGACGGAAGGAAAGGGAGTGAACATCTACACCCACGGAGAGATGCTCCCCGCCCACTCCTACCCTGAGCTGAGGAAGCACAAGCACCTCGCTGGAAACTGGGGAGGAGCCTGGTGGGAGCAGCACGGAGACTTCAAGGCCTTCCCTGGAGCCATCCTAATGACGTCCAACTGCCTGACGGCACCCACTCGCTCCTACAGAGATCGTATCTTCACTGCTGGACCTGTCGGCTGGGATGGCATCCCCCACGTGCAGGGACACGACTTTTCTCAGCTCGTCGACTGCGCTGTGAACAAGGCAAAGCCGGCCACGGGAGACGAGGTCTCAACCCACCCGGCTGAGAAGGTGACGGTTGGCTTCGGGTACGAGACGGTCGAGGGAGTCACGGACACGCTGCTCGGAGCCATCAAGGGCGGTCAGCTCAAGGATGTGTTCCTCGTCGGAGGATGCGACGGCAGGGAGGCTGGAAGGTCCTACTTCACGGACCTTGTCAAGCAGTCCCCCGACTCCTCTGTCATCCTCACTCTCGGATGCGGCAAGTTCCGCTTCAACGATCAGGAGCTGGGAAATCTTGGAGAGTCTGGAATCCCTCGCCTCCTCGACATCGGGCAGTGCAATGACGCTTATTCCGCTGTTGTCATCGCCAACGGACTTGCCGACAAGTTGAACGTCAAGATGAGCGACCTGCCTCTGCACTTTGCGATCTCCTGGTTGGAGCAGAAAGCCGTCGCCGTGCTTCTCTCCATGCTCCATCTTAACATGAAGAACATCTACCTCGGCCCCAACCTTCCTGCCTTCCTCACTCCCAACCTCGTCAAGGCTCTCGTTGACAACTACAACTTGAAGCTGACTGGGGATGCTGAGAAGGATCTCAAGGAGATGCTGCAATAGATCAGTTTGCATGTGTTTTTTTAAATATTTGATTCAAGTAAACCATGATAGGCAAAGCATGTCAAGTCCTCTCTGCCTTCATCGAGTCTCTGCCATACTCGAGCCACTCGTAGGCGTTGAGTGACTTTGAGCCGTCCTTGTCGAGATCTGCGAGGACCTGAAGCTTTCATGAGCTAAGATAACGAACTGAAGAAGGAAGAGAAAACTAGAGTAGGAGAAAGTGAGAGATAGAAGGATCATGTGTGTGTGTTGGTGGGGGGGGGAAGGGGTGAGGAGAGGAGGGCGGGGGGGGGGGGCAGAAGAGACAGAGACAGAGACAGAGACAGAGACAGAGACAGAGACAGAGACAGAGCCAGAGGGAGGTGGGAGGAAGACGAAGGCTCTGGCAGACCGTCTTCGACAGTTGCTCGAAATCGTCAGCCTATTTTCACCAAGTTGGTGAGGATCGAGAAGCATCGAAGGTGATCATCCTACCTTCACTGTTGGAAGCCTGTGCTCCTGACCCCCTCCCTCCTCCGTCAAGAGCTGCTCCTGCATGCCAAGTCAGAACTATCCTCCGCAGCTGAAGGCCTCCGACATGGCGGCGGTGAGCTTCTTTCAGCACATTGACCAGCTCCTTCTCAGTCAGCTCCTAATGTTAGCGTCACGACAGGAGGCATCGAGGGACTCTAAGGCTCACCCCGTCGTTGTTGACGTCTCCCTCGTCAAAGCTGAGGAGGAGGATGTTTTCCAGCGACTCTGCCACCGAGCCTTGCCTCCTGCCGTCCACCCAGTCCGCCTCTTGTCTGTACGCGGTCATGAGGGAGGGAAGAAGCAGGCGCAACAACGCACGGGATGTCATGGAACAGCATCTTTTTCCATTCCTCCCAATCGAGATAACCTGAGCACTCAATGCAGTAAGAAACCCTTGCAACCTTCCTATCCGTCCTCAGCCACCATCGTGGTTCAGGTCGTTGTCGGTGAATTCAGCCCTCCATCGATTCACCACGTCCTTCATCATCTCGTCTTCAGAGAACTTTGTCGAGTTGTAGTCCGGCTCCATGCGTTGAAGAAACTCGTGCTCGGACACTTTACCATTGTCGTCTGTGTCGAAGTGACTGCCAACAAGCTAGATCAGCGAGCATGTCGACATCGCAACGTGCTTTGCCGCTCCAACTTCACATGCACCGAAGAGGCTACTCACCGGAAGTTCTCCCACTCCTCAGCAGCTCCCAACGTCGGGTCGTTGAGGTGGTAATGATCCCACAGCATATCGTTGATCAGACTGGGGTCGCCGTGGTGCTCAGAGCCATTCTCACGGTTGAAATGCTCGAAGTCGTGGAAGTCTCTCATGCCAGTGTAATCATAGTCGTAGTCTTCCATAGGATAGTGGTCCTCGTAGTGATACTCGTCCTGACCAGCGTCAAACCCCCCCATGGCCTCCCCATGGGGCTCCTCTGTGCGAGAGCCTGGATCCTCTGCCTCTTTCGGTCGTGATCCAAAGAGCGGGAGGGCGCCACATGCTAGCAAAGATGCCGCGATCAAGCAGCAGAGCAGGAGGGTAGCTGGTCGGTAGCTGCACATTCTCACACTCAGACTCGATACTGCAATCCGTACTGCATTCCGCGTGAAGGTGAGGAGAAGCAGTAGGAAGGGAACCAGACGGATAGAAGAGGAGGAGGATCGAGTGTTGAGGTTGTGGCAAGAGGAGCAGGAGCAGGAGCAGGAGCAGGAGCGGGAGCAGGAGCAGGTTCAGGAGCAGGAGCAGGAGCAGGAGCAGGAGCAGGATTCAGAATTTTTGGGAGGACCAATGATGAGGAGGAAGGCTTTAGAGGGGGTAGGGGTGATAACAGAACATACTAGCACTGGTCTATTTCCATTAGAATGAAGGGGTACAAACAAAATGTCAGGGGTAGTCGGGGAGTAGTGGTTGGGAATGTCGGGCTACGGAAGAGTCGGGGACGAGAGAAGCAGGAGGGGAGAGAGGGGAAAGCATGGGGGCAGAGGAAGGAGAACGTGCCAAGGAGAGGGTAGGAGTCGAGAGGAGGAGGGTCGAGAAGGAAGGGGGGAGGGTGGGGAGAAGCTCAGCCAGCAGCAGCATGATTAGCTTGCGCTGTCGTCGCACATTGACATCAACTCGTTGATTGAAGATGCTGGAATTCGCCGAGGAGCTGGAAACGGAGCAGATCTACCAGTGGGAGGAGGACGAGGTTGATAGCCCTCTAGACATGTTAGGACGTGACCATGGACTACCCAGCGCTACTACGACCTCATCGCAGCTAGGAAGGTGGAGGACAGGTGACTCTGTCCCGACCCGGCAACATGGTGTTGATGTTGTCCTGCAAGTCTGAGGGAGACCGAGCGCTCGTTGCTGGTTACACCCAACTGGGAAGGCGATGACGTAAAGGAGGAGCAAGCGGCCGCGGACGAGGTTTGCTGTTGACAAGGTATGGTTCGGAAGGAGTAATCCTTTCCTATTGCAGATCAACGAGCAAGACGAGGCGAGTAGGCTGTGGGCGGTGAGCAAAAAGAGCATCTGTGAGGACTCGATCGAGTTTCCCTTCAGATCCGGATTGCAGCGATGCAGCAGGAGCTGGAGGAAGAGCAGATGCAGGAAGGAACAGAGAGGTAGGACTCTATCCCTTGCTGGTTGTCAACTGGTGGTCTCAATCACTTTTCTCCAGCGATCATATCGGCGACCACCGGGAGTCTTTTTCTGAGAAGAACGACAACCAGTATCACGAGGGTTTGACATGAGGCCTGTCGTGTTGAGCTCCTGACGTTGTGATTTTGCAGTGCTGGACAGCGAGTTTCTGAAGCGACCGTACAGGATCCTGCAGCACGATACGCACCGGGAGATGCTGATGACGCTGCACAACCTTGTGCAGGGGATCAAGAAGAGCGCCAAGATAGCGCGAGCGGAAACAACGTCGGAGGTGCCCGAGGGCCGTTGCCGCCCCTTCCCCCGCCGCTCACGATCGTGCAGATGAAGGACGTTAAGGAGCTGAGCGAAGTCCACGAGTTCAATGTACGATGCTCCTTCCTTCGAGGTGCTGCGTGACGTGGCACGTGCGTGCAGGTCCGAAGCCAGTCTGGAGGAGGAGCAGTGCAGGTAAGGTCAGGTGGGGGGGGGTGGTTGGGCTGATAGGAAGGCTGCAGCTTGTGAGATCCTATGCTCCGAAGTCTTTCTCGCGCATCCGAACGGTTCTGGGCCTCGGTTATGAATCATTTGCACGCACGCTGGACGACACGGAGGTTTTCTTTCAGTCGGGACATTTCTTCTTTTCCAATCGGTGAGCTGATAGGTGTATGCTTTCAGTTTGTGTCTGACCATGTTTCTTCCCACTCTGCCCCTCCTGCGCTGCTTTCTTGCTGCTCGTGCTCTCCTTGCTGTCCACTCGTGTTCTCCACGATGCTCTTCAGCTCCTCCCTCCTCTTCCAGATGATCGACGAGGAGACGGTCAAGCTCATCCTGAGCTTGACCAAGTCCTACTCGGACTATGTGCATCACAATGCCCTGACCATCCTCCCGCACTGGTATGGTCTATTCCGCGTGTCTCGGTCGGGGATGAAGACTTTCTACTTCCTCCTCACCTCCAACATCTTCTACACCGTCGACAAGATCGATGTCTTGTATGACATCCGAGGAGTTGCGGATACCTCGCTCAACTTCGAGCATCGTTGCGGGCACCACTACGTCTTCCCTCTCGGCACGCGGGAGGATTGTGACGCCATCAAGGACGTCTGGAAGGTTGCGGTGGACCAGCACAAGGACAAGCTGTTCGACGACAACGCCCTCCTCAACAAGATGAGAAACTCTGTCGACCTGTTCCAGTCCTCTCCCCTCATCCTCCATCCCTCCGAGAGGGCCGAGCTCCTTGAGACGCTGCGACGGGACACGCTTTGGCTCGACTCGCACCAGCTGTACGACTACTCGATCCTCATCGGTGCCCACCACTGCTCTCCCTTCGACAAGCACGCACTGCAGAACATGGAGACGGGGCTAGGGAACAAGTTCGGAGGGCTGAGCGTGTACGAAGACTCCTTCCGCGTGCAGATCGTCGGGCCGTTCAGGAGGTGGACGCTGGCGGACAACGTCAAGGGCGTCGGAGCTTCTCTGTACTCCTCGTCCTCCGCCGTCCAGCCTGCTGCTTACTCGCGGAGGCTGAGGGAGAGAATGTTTGAGTGTTTGCTTGAGTTCGACAAGCACATCAACTTCGACCACTTCTGCATGCTGAAGACCGAGCTGTTCAAGGACATAATAAAAAAGAGCAGGCAGAAGCATCTCCCGGCCGAGCGCAAGGTGAAGAAGACCGGTTCCCTGATGCGTGCTGCCAAGGCCATGAGCCGTATCGGCTCTCTGTTCAGCGGGAAGCAGCAGACGATGAGGAAAGCGAAGGATGGACAGACGCAGGAGCAGGAGCAAGAGCAGCAGGAGGATCCCCCTGCTCACAGGAGGCTCAGCAGGAAGATGGTGAGACTTTCCCTGAAAGGGGAGGAGGGCATGGAGGGAGAGAGCATGAGCAAGCCAAGGGTCTCCCTGGGAGACCTGAAGCCTGGCCTTGGGCTCATGCTGGGGACCTCCAAGGACGGGCGGGTGATGGTTACAAACTGCCTGCCAGGGCGATCAGCGTACAGGAGCGGGAAGATCATGAAAGGGGATCTGTTGACGTGGGTAGGGAGGCCGGGGGAAGACGAGTGGAGCTGGACGGACGTGTCGAGGAAAACGAGCACGGAAGTAGCAGCGCTGCTGGTTGGCAAGGAAGGCGACATCATCTGCCTAAGGCTGAGGAGGACGGCGGAGGACGGGCAGGTGAAGGGGGTGGACTTCGAGGTGATCCTCGAGTTCCTCCCTTCCGAGAACGTCCTGCACTTCCGCAAGAACAGGACCCAGGAGGAGAAGGCGCTGGCGATGACGGAAATAGCTGGGCACCTGCTGAAGGCGCTGCAGTCCCGCCAGCCTGACGACACCGACCCGCTCATCTACGGTGCTGCTCTCCCCGTGCTGGAGAACTTGGACGAGCTGTGGGAGGATCCGGAGGACGGGAAGGTTCACAGCATCGAGGAGCTGGTGGAGAGGTGTGTTGAAGGAAGCTACCTCCTCTACCGCAGCGCCGAGCTCCCGCGGGAGGACGAGGACTTCTTGCCTGTGGGGGTCGTGTACAACATGAATGGGGTGGCGGTCCAGAACCTGGTTCACGTGGTGAACGTGGGGGAGGGAGCGGCGAGGGGGAGGGAGGTGTGGCTGAATGTGAGAAACTGGATCACTATCAACCGGGCGCCTTGGATGACGAGGTAAGATAGGGAGAGGAGGGGAGGTGCAGGAGCGAGAGGGGTTGTGTTGCTGTGGGAGGGGGGGAGGGGAGGGAGGGGGAGGGGGGAAAGGGGTAAGATGGTGAGGATAATGTGGGCGGGAGGGGGGAGGAGCAGGACGTTGGGTTGAGGGACGGAAAATAGGGAAGGAGCGAGAAAGGGATACAAGGTGATAGAAGTAAACTAGAGGTGAGGAAGGGTTGTGGTGCGAGAAAGCAGACGAGAGATGAAGGGATGGACAAAGAGCTTGTCAGGATGTTGGATGTGGCTCATTCGCTTGCTATGACTTCAGTCCCGATCGCCTGAAAGAGAACAACGAGATCTTTCCGAGCTTCGTGCAGCTGGTGGAGGCCTTGGATGAGCTGAAGAAATTGATTGACCTCTCTGACCCTCCTCTGAAGAAGATCGAAGTGGTGAGAGGAGGATCAGGAGGAGGAGGAGGTGGTGGTGGTGGTGGAAGAGGAGGAGGAGGAGGAGATGGAACGCATGGAGGGAGAGGAAGGGCAGGAGGGGGGGGGGGGGGGGGGGCTCTGGTGAGAAAAAGGAGGGGAGGGGAGGTAGGGTGGTT